TCAGAGAACCCCCTCCCTTCTCTCTCTTCGTTGTCTCTCCCTCTCCACCTCACCGACCACCAAGCCGACCTCCTCCTTTTCCCCACGCCACCAAGCTCCAATCCGACCAAACCCAACTCCGACCAGTTCGACGCCAAACACCCCTCAACCGCGCCACCCTCAACTCCATCTCCTCACCGTCAGTCCCAACTTCGCCGTCGCTCAGATCCACCAGAGCCTCCACCTTAGTTCCGTCCTCCTCCTCTGCAGTTCGTCGGCGCTCCTCCAACCGTGCGAGCCTTCCATTGCAGCAGCGACGCCGATCCCTGCTCGCTGTCCAGACCCGCTGCCCTCTGGCACTCATTTTAGATCAATATATCAGATATGTACAGATTAATGTATTTATACAGCAGATACTAGTGTCTAGTTTAAAACGATCGATCAGATTAGCATTGTATGATCTGACATATTCATAACATATGAACACAATTAAGTGTATATAGGTAAGTCTACAACATGTGGTTAAATATGATATCATCAAATCATAATATAGTATACTTTAATGCGGGTCAACCATTTCAGGGATTTATGGATGACTATCATTGGATTCTTGTTGTTTTATAGCTGAGATAGGTTAAGTTTCTTTTTACCTCTCGTTAATTCATGGATATCGATACACTAACTTAAATTCCCATTCTTTATTGTCCTAAGATGATCAGCTTTGAGGTATGACATCTGAAAGTGTGAGACACAACTAATTTAGTTGGACGAAGTAACATATCACATGATATTTTTTTTTTTATCACTAAATCACTAGTTGATGACTTGCAGCAGAGCCTGTCAGGATGGTGGTTTGTGCTAACTGGTGGAAGGAAATAATTCAAAGATCCTCCATTTTGCATTTTCTTAAAGTAATCTAGGGGCAGTACTATCCTGCAGTTTGTTTGGGAACACTACGTGATATTAGATTCTTTTTTTTCTGTTGGAAGAAAATTATCCGAACTAGTTGGCTAAAAAATAATAATAATAATAATAATAATAATAAATTACTAGTACTTAATTTAGCCTTCATCAGGAATTTGTTATTTTTGGACTATTTGAACAATCTTTTACATATCCTACCATTACTATATTAGATTAGATTAGACAGGCTGAAAGTGTTTCGTTCTTTTATGATTAGAATAATTTATTTACCAATGAATAGTGACACTTTTGTTTGCTTGATACGCATTGAGGATTTTTGTGAAACCTTGGCTGTCTATAACCCATGTATTCTATGATACCCGATATGTTCTCCATTTTTATATGTAGATGGAAGCTTTACATTTTTATATTTTTTAGTTATAACACTATAACTTGTATGAAACTATTACTTTATGTGAACCTATATATACTTGAATCCAAATGTGGGTTTAAATCCTTGTCCGAGTAAGTGTGATCGATGTAATTTCTGGTAGATGTTTACTTTGTTACTGATATAGCATGCCATTAGATATCTTTTTGCATTTGACAATGCATGATTACTGTGTTTGAAAATACAAGACTGGTCTGGTATTGATAGTGGATATCACCTGAAATGTCATGATTAGATTATTGTGTTGACATGCATGATTTGATGGAGAATTGTTGTTTGATTACCTAGTTGCCATCCAATAGGAGAGCCTGTGCATGAAGACGACTCCTGTTAAAATATGATTTATAAGCGTGCTTTCATAGCATGGCTATGCTCTCGATATCGACATCCCGATATGAGATTTTTCCTTGGCTATTACTACTATAGCATCGACTAGACGATGCACGCATCTTGATTAGACATGTTCTGGGTCATGGTTATTTTCATAGTTTTACAGAAGTCGTTCCACGGTAACTCTGTGGTTAGTGCACAACATTTCATGCACAGTCAAAAAAAAAAAAATTAAATTGACAAACATGGGGTTTATAAAGGGGAATTAGATGGAGAATATAACATGTATATAAACGGGCATATGCGCATTCCTGATATCCTGAGTTATATATACATGGGCTAAAGAGCCAATTCCTGACTTGAAGCCGTGTTCCCGGGACGGTTTATGGGGAACCGATTTATATACATGAAAATATCCTCCTCTAATTCAAATAACATGTAAAAATAAGAATAATGTGTTTTTATGCTTTGTGATAGATTTGGCATGCACGGTATGACCTGGATGAAGTATGGGTGATGTATATTGATAGTATTGTGTATAAAATTTTGGGAGTTAATATTTAGAGATTTACAATTTGAGATACATGGTATATACGAGGGTTTCCTTGTTTGGATTATTCCCTCGACGTACTCATCTCTCACATTTTGGGTTTCTAAATCTTACCTCCTTTTAGTATAGGGTATAAGATGTATGCTTTAGGGTAGACCTTGTTTGATGTCCATGTTTAGAAATTTTCCTTTATCATCTTTAACTTAGTTTTCATCTTATTTTGATTTATAAGAGTAGCATTTTCTTTTATCACTAAAAATTTGGAATTCATCTTTTCTTTATATCTACCACTTATACTTACACGCACATAATTTTCTCATTTTACATGCTTGCTGGGAGTTTAACCGTATGGTTGCATTGCCGACCGAGTCACGCTTCAAATTATCACGTTTTGGACTCGGGGCGTGACAAAATACCTCTTGAGAATCAACAACTATAGCATATGTGAACATCTTAAGAAAGGGGAAGATCAAAATTAGAGCAAGGCAGCAAATTTAGGTTAGCCGATTGATCTTTTAGCTAAGAAGGTAAGACCAGGTCCAATTTCTTCTAAAATTCTCCGAAAAGTACAGAAAACTCAGGCAGATCTCCTCCAAATCCAACCTCAACAACGATTTCAAGTGAAGCACACGCCTCTACATTCAATTCAACAAAAACCCTAATTTTTTTGGGAATAAAACAGTTCAGATCTAAACACAACTAGCAATTACACATACTGATCAAATCTCAAAACAAAGTCAAATCATTCCAAGCTCTAAAAATGCAAGATCACAAAAGAGGACCGCTATATATTGAAGCAAAAGATCAAGATCACGAACCATTTTTTTAGATCTTGAAGGGATCCAACGAAGAGATCGAGCACCCTCCACTAGAGAAATTGAGGACAGGCGAAGATGGAATGTTAAAAAAATAAAAACACTATCGGGTCGGGTTTTCTCCGAACACGTCAAACTACTACGGCCTCGTATGGAGTTTTATGCGAGGGCCTGAAAGAAATAGATGAGAATGTTTAGGGTCAGAGCGTAAAATCTCAAAAAGGGCAAGAAAAAGAAAGTGACGTTGATTAAATTAAATCTAATTTGGCAAGGGTCCAATGAATTGCTATCCTAGTTACGGTCACCGCCCTCCTACTAGGAAGCAAGTATTGAAGTTTACACTCCCTAAACACGTGATGATATAAAACTTTTCATAATTCAATTCCAATCTTTCATTAGTAACTAATGGTGGGTATTATGTTTTTCTTTACATAATAAAAAAGCAGTTTCCACAGTTAAAATCATTTGGAAGGGGTTTGGTTCATTTTGAATGCTGTCATATTTAGTTATAAATGTTCGTTTAGAGAGAAGTTGTCGGTAGAATCAGATTCAACTATATTGGTAACCAACGGCATATATTATTAATTTTTTAGGATTAATTACACAAAACCCCTCCAAACTCTGGGGGTGTTGCACATAAACCCCTTAAACTTTATTTTCTCGCGTAACCCCTCTAAACTATAGGGTGACTCGCAAGCCCCCTGAGTTTTAGCTTATCTCACTTAACCCCCTGCCTGTAATTTGCAAGTAACTAAAATTTTCTTGAGAAGAAAAAAACTCAAACTTTATGGGAAGGAGTATGATGCCTTTAGATGATAGGTAATAAAGTTTGAAATTTTTTTACTCAATGATATTTTAGTTATTTGCAAATTAGGGATATGAGGGTTAGGTGAGATAAGCGACATGTTAGGGGGGTTTTATTGGACACCCAATAGTATAGAAGGATTAAGTGAGATAAATAAAGTTTGACCACAATTATCGCTGGGCCCAAGTTTATGGAGAACTTTAAAAAAAATTACGTTCATTAATGAGTACCTTCACATAGAACTCTGCTAATGTAGCTTAATTAATCTTGTCATAACGAGCACCATGGCATGAAGTATGAAATTCCAACTACAAAAAGAAAGAGGGGGAAAAAAATCTGTGGGCTTGTTAGGGGTTTTCCAAAGGGGTAAGCTGACAGCAGGCGGTGACAATACCCCACCTGCCGCCTTCTCAGCAACTCCGGTAGGCTCTCGCACGTGTCTACAGTCACGCAAACGCAACCCCACAACAAATCTCCCTCCCCTCACTAGATTTCAGCGGCCTCATCCGACCGTCCAAATGCACCCACAAGCCTACGCCAACGGACGATCTCGCTCGAGTCACTCCCTCGATCCCAATTCACCATTTTGCCCCTGCTATTCTTATTTGGCAAAAAGGTAAGGAAAAAAATCGTCCTTTCGGACCGTGAACTGAAGTCCAAGGTCTTTCTCTCTCTAAAATCTCTCTCTCTCTCCTCAGAAAAGGAGAGGAATCGCGTGAAGACGGCCAACGTGTGCGAATCAATCCTCATCGACTTTACCTTTCGAGGAATCGGAGCCTAGAGATGCCCTCGATTGCCCTGATTCCTCAATTTTAGGTAAGATTTGGCGGTTATTTCTCTAATTTCAGCTCAAATTTCTGTGTTTCATGGTAATTTTTGCAGTTTTGGATCAAGTTTCTAGCTTTATTTGAAACTAGGTGTTTTCGTTCGGTTTCCCTTTTGTGGACATCTAGGGTTTGGCCCATTTGGGGGTTTACGACTGAGAAATTAAGAGCCATGTTGTATTTCTATTGTCATTTGAAGATCCCCATTGATCAAATTCTAAAAATTTGATGCATGAGGAGGAATTTTGTCGAACTTGTACATTTCTCCGCTATCAACGAGTTCTGTTGATTAAAGTTGTACCTTATAACGTCGATTTATTAGCAAGTCATTGAGAACCCCAATTCTTCAGCTGGAAACTGAAGGGGTTACTGAACTTAACCTTTTTGCAGCGCATTCATTTAGTTTATTTTCATAGGATAGTCTAGTGTCCTAATATCTTAAAATCCTAAAATTTAAATTAATGCAAGTTATCCAATGATAATATAGTCGAAATTCTTCTAATGTATAGGACTGACTGGGTTTACTTCTGGTTTTCCTAAGCCATGCAGGAGTGAGGAGATAGAAGGCACTGAGGTTGGTGGGATGATGGAGGGTTGTGACTGCATTGAACCTCAGTGGCCTGCTGATGAGCTCCTAGTAAAGTACCAGTATATATCAGACTTCTTTATAGCGCTTGCTTACTTCTCGATTCCTCTCGAGCTCATTTATTTTGTGAAGAAGTCTTCATTTTTTCCTTATAGATGGGTGCTAATACAGTTTGGTGCATTCATAGTTCTCTGCGGAGCAACACACTTAATAAACTTGTGGACATTTACCATGCACTCGAGGACATTGGCTCTAGTAATGACAGTAGCAAAAGTTTCGACTGCTGTTGTGTCGTGTGCAACAGCCTTAATGCTTGTACACATTATTCCTGATTTGTTGAGTGTGAAAACTAGGGAGCTTTTCTTGAAGAATAAAGCTGAAGAACTTGATAGAGAGATGGGCCTCATACGAACACAGGAAGAAACAGGAAGGCATGTTCGAATGCTTACTCATGAAATTAGAAGCACATTAGACAGACATACTATATTGAAGACCACCCTTGTTGAGCTTGGGAGGACTTTAGACTTGGCAGAATGTGCTCTATGGATGCCATCTCGTACTGGCATGACTCTTCAGCTTTCGCATTCGCTGCACAACCAAATACCTATTGGAAGCTCCGTGCCTATTAATCTTCCTGTAGTCAATCAAGTTTTTACTACTAATCGTGCAATAAGGATCCCACACACATGCCCGTTGGCTAGGATACGGCCTGTTGTAGGGAGATATGTGCCACCTGAGGTTGTTGCTGTTCGAGTTCCTCTGTTGCATCTTTCCAATTTCCAAATTAATGACTGGCCTGAGCTTTCTGCAAGAAGCTATGCGGTGATGGTCTTGATGCTTCCGTCAGATAGTGCAAGGAAATGGCATGTTTATGAACTGGAGCTTGTTGAAGTGGTTGCGGATCAGGTTAGTCTAGAATCCCATAGTTTCCTACTCAGTTTTTGCAAAAGAAGAAAGAAGTGCATTAGTTTGTGAATATGTATTTCTCCAGTTAATGCAATTGTGAGCCTTCTTTCATTTGTTTTCTTAAACCTTCGCTGTCATCTTTAACACTTCATGTTAACACCTTAGAACATAGTTAAGGGTCAATGTCATGAAATTATTATGTTTATGCCCATTGTACATAGTTAATCTTCTCCTCCAAATGTAGCTCTCACCATTTTAGACGTTTTAAAGAATCATAATATTTCCTATCTCTTACAACTAGTGGGCAAATGAAGTGGATCTTTTGTTTTTTCCTCAAAAACTTCAATCCTCTGTAACATCACAGCTCATGAAACCAATGTTTGAAAAAGCTTTTTTGAAACTCACTTTGCAACTTTTTGAAGGGTATACACTTCGAAACTCGAGAGCGAAGCTATTTATCCCTTGAAGCTTACGCTTCATCGCTTAAAGCATAACTAAAATGTGCACTTCGCGCTTCATAAATCACTTTTCTTTGGAAGCGCGTGTTTTCAACAAGATAGAAGGATATAAAAGGATTTTTTTTACTGACATTAAAATGCCCTTATGTATCTTCAATAGACCATGTGAGTGTAAATGAAATATATCTTTTATGCATGTAGCTTAGTTCTTTATGATTCGTTTATATACTTCACATATTTAATTCTTATTTACTAATCAAGAGATGAATGTGTATATTTGTAAATTAGTATACCACTATATATTATATGCTCATAATTTTTAAGAATTTAAAGTTAAAATACTCTTAACTCATAAAACTTATGCCTCGCTTCATCAAAGGGCCTAGCCTTCGCCTTGTGCTTCCACTTTTTTAAACATTGCATGAAACTGCTACATAAATGAATATCCTACTCTAATAGTTATTTCGTTTTGTTTGGATTATTTCTTTTTTTTTTTGGTTCGGTTTACTTTTTAAGACAACTAGAAATCATTCTGTAATCTGCTTGGTGTAGGAATTAATTCCGTTGTTATCAGCTTTCTAGATTTTCTTGATATTCTGGCATGTATCAAGTTGAAACCTTTACAATATATCTGTGTGATCATGATCTGAATGTTCTGAATTTTTATGCTTTATTTGTAAATTAAGCAAGCTGAAAGGAAGAGCTTGATGATTAACCTCTAGTAATTCTCTTTTGTCTATTTTGGTTTTTGATTGTCATTTATATGTTTACTTTCTGCAAATCTCTCTCTCTCTCTCTCTCTCTCTCTCTCTCTCTCTCTCGCTCGTCTTTATCCTAACTTCCTGTGTAACCAGACTATGAATCATTTCAGGTGGCAGTTGCACTTTCACATGCTGCCATTCTGGAAGAGTCCATGAGGGCACGTGATCTACTTATGGAGCAAAATGTTGCTCTGGATTTAGCTCGGCGGGAGGCTGAGATGGCCATTCGTGCTCGAAATGATTTTCTGGCAGTGATGAATCATGAAATGCGAACTCCCATGCATGCAATTATTGCCCTTTCCTCTTTGCTCCTAGAAACTGAACTAACTCCAGAGCAGCGGCTAATGGTGGAAACAGTGTTAAAAAGTAGTAATTTACTAGCAACACTCATCAATGATGTTTTGGATCTTTCTCGGCTTGAAGATGGGAGCTTTGAGTTAGAAAATTTGAATTTCAATCTTCATGCTGTTTTCAGAGAGGTAAGTCAACGGGTTCACAAGTTGTCCTTTGTGGCTAGTACATAGGAGGTCACAGTTATCTGAGTGGATTGCTATTCTTATTTGCAGGTCATTAACTTGATAAAGCCAATAGCAGCTGTAAAAAGACTATCAGTGTCTGTGTCATTAGCACCAGATTTGCCCTTGTGTGCAACTGGCGATGAAAAACGTCTTATGCAAACTATTCTGAATGTTGCTGGTAATGCTGTTAAGTTTACAAAGGAGGGGTATATTTCCATATCAGCCAGTGTTGCCAGATCTGATTCTCTGAAGGACCCGAGATTTCCAGAGTTCTATCCTGTTGCCAGTGATGGGCACTTCTATTTGCGTGTGCAGGTCTGTAACATACCATACTTGCCTTTGATACGTCTTTTCAATTTTTTAGGTTTCTCTTATATTCATGATTTCGTGTTATATGGAAAACAACAACCTAGTGATCACAACATCCTTCTTACTTGCTTTTGTGGAAAAAGCTCCTGCTACTAATTGGATAGATAGATAATTTATGATTGAACTTCTATCCTCCTGTTCTCAGCCTGAGAGATGTAAATGTCGTAATTAGATAACGGGAGTAATTTTTTTATGGAAAAATATGAGTCAATAACGAGTTTTTACCCAAAGTTCCAAAATACAGATCAATATTGTGAAAAGCAGAAAGCAGAGTGAAGCAACATCTAGCTTTTTGGGGCTTAAGCGGGGAAACGCTTCAAAGTAATTTGTTTATTTTTTATTTGTAAATTGAGTCAAAATAAAAAAAGAAAATATTAGAAAAATATTTAAAAATTATAAAACAAGCAAAAATTGGAGAGGGAAATTTTTTACTAAAATGCATATATGATGGTTATAGAGATCATAAACGTTAAATAGATGCGTGACAATAACTGGATTCAATCACGCAACAGTAACAAAATGTTAGGCACATTGTAATGTGATAAACTAAAGGCGTGTTTGGCAATACCTTAAAACTGGACCAGCTTTAGTCGTCGTCCAATTTTGAGCTCTTCTCTTGTTTAGCAAAAACTGATTCTTTGTTTCCATAGGCCAAAAAAAGCTCTTTAAATTGGTTTTTTGTTGAACCACCTGGGTTTATTCTAGCCTAGTTTAGGATAAAACTGGGTCAAGACTAATCCGGACCTAGCTTTTCATTGTTTGCCAAATAGAGCCTAACATGTAGTGAACTATGTACACCAAATAGTCAATAAGTTGATGACTTGATGTAAATTATCAAAGGAAAAAACTTTTGGTGGATGCTTTTGTGTTTATTTGCCATTTTTGGGCCACTTTTCTTGCCGCTTCCTCTTGTGGACGGGGCTTTTTCGACCTAAAGCAGTTCTGGGATCAAAACGCTTAAACGATTGCTTAAGTACCGCTTTTAAACACTTTGTACAACACCCATGTAGATGTGCTAGTGTGCAGTTATGTGACACAACACGTAGTTTTGTGTTGAAACGAAAAAATCCAGAAAATTTCAGGAAAATCTTTGGGAAATGTTGAACATCTAAGTTTCATGAAATGCTTATAAATGAGTTTAATGGAGTAAGGAGAAGCTCTTGAGAATAATGATTCATATGAAGAGTAAGGAAAGCATTATTTAGATTATAGAGAAAATAAAGAGTAAGGTTGAGGTTATGGAGAGAAAGCGAAAGAACGTGAGGACTGCGAGGAGCATTAAGAACCAGAGGGACACAATGTTGTGTTATAGTAGATGCACACAAAAAATGGTAGGTGTTGTACACGAGACTATGCACTCTTTATTTTCTCACTATTACATCAACTAGTACAACACACTACAACCACACAAAAAATACACTCTTTATTTTCTCACTATGACATCAACTAGTACTATACACTACAACCACATATAGTCGGTCACCAACTAAGAGTAGTGGGTGTTGACCTCTAACACTTCCCCTCAGTGACAACTTCTATGCTCAAGAGCCTAAGTAACTTTGAATTACGCACTGCGTTGGTGAAGGGACTAGGTTTTTCATATGGTGATCCTATCGCTATTCATGAATAGTGAAGCCTAAGGATGATAAACTGCAGATGGGTTTACAAAGTCAATGCTCGATTAGATCAATCGATTAAGAGGTACTAGGCAATCCTAGTGACTGGAGAATTTTCTCAGTAAATGAGTTGAGAGCTCTGGCAGATGGATGTCAAGTAGACTGTTCTACACGACAAGGTGGATCGAGAGATCTACATGAAGCAACCCATGAGATTTGAGAATAATAAAAAACCAAGATGTGTCTGCAAACTAAATAAATCTCTTTAGAGACTAAATAAATCTCTACAGATTAAAGCAAGCTCTAAGAGCATAGCATGACAAGATCCGTGAGTTCTTAATAGTTACTTTCTCACTCCTGTAGATTCTAGATTTTTGTTAAGAAGACTGATGATAAGCTAACAGACATTCTGGTCTATGTGAACAACTAAATCGTCACTGGAGGCAAAGTGGAAATCCAAAGAACAAAGGTAAATCTAAGGAGCTTGTTTGCTGAAGCACTTTCTCTAGTTGAAGGTCAATCGAGGGAAGAATGAATTGTTCATCTGTCAAGAGAAGTATGCAAAGGATTTGTCGCGCAAGTATAGGATGTTCAACTGCATGCTAACCATGATGTTGATAGAGAGCAACCTGAGACTGTGCTACAAGAAGGAAAGGAGGATTTTGAAGATCCATCCATTTATTGATAACTAGTTGGGAGTTTGATTTATCTGACAAGGCCATATATCACATTTGCAGTTTTCGTGATGAGCTGATACATGCAAATACTAAAGAAATCCTAAGAGAAAGAAGAGTAAGTGTGCTGTAATAGTTGATATAATAGTGAGAAAATAGAGTGCATGATGTAGTGAATAACACCTATCGTAAAAATGAGATTTCTAGCGTTTTAGGAGAAATAAAGAAGGCAATAGTTTATATAAGTGCAAAGTAGGGGAAATTAGGGTGCTTGGGACGGCTTATTTTTATGAGAGTCATGCTGGCTTTTGATGGCTTGACTTTGATGCTAAATTCTTATAGAAGTTGTATGACCTTATAAGCTAGTTTTTCAAAAATTTTGAATCCCAATTTTTTTAAATGGGACTTATAAGCTATGAAGCACGGACACGCATAACATGAAGCCGTGTCGTGTCGTGTCCGTGTCGGACACACGTGTCGAGCACACGTATCCTATGTATTTTTTAGGATTTGCCTCGTGTCGGCGTGTCGGATGGCCGTGTCGGATCCGTGTCCGTGCTACATAGCTTATAAGCAGGGGTGGAAACGAACTAAATAATTAACAGATAGTTCGTTAATTGTTCAACTAACTATTTGATCATATTCGATCCGGTAGATCGTTTAACACTAAACAAATAATATTTAGTATTCGGGTTCATTAACGAATAGAATTTAACCACGGGTATATTCGATTTGTTTGCTTATCAAATATTCGTTTAAAATTTGTTCGCTTATAATTTGTATAATTACACATGATTTTATATTTTTAACCCACTTATATTTTCTACTTAAGTTCTATATACTAATTTTGAGAAGCTTTAAGAATCTTAAATCAAATTTTTAATGAAATATCCAAATTAAATATATATACATCATAACTATGAAAAAATAATTTTCAATTATAAATTTAAATACTATTTTAAAATTAAACTCTTTAGCAGAATGAATATACTTTGACATTCGATAAATATTTGTGAATATTCAAATTCAGGTTCGAATTTGACAATTTTGAACAAGTACTAATACGAACATCTTAGTATTACTATTCGATTTCGTTCGCTCGTTTACCACCAGTACTTGTAAGCTAGCTTATTGGTGATTTAGCAAATAGTTAGATATGAAAAAGTTAGCTTAAAAGTTGGTTTGACCAAAAAAAAGCTTTGCCAACACCCTCTCTGCTAAAGATACCTATGCCAAATACCTATGCAGGATATTATTGATAGCTAAAAGGCCCAAAAGAGTAATAAAGTGACCCAACCAGCCCTTGCCTCTCTCTCTCATAGCCCCGTAGCTCTAAAACTAAAAGACGGTTTATCCATTTCTTTAAGTCATTCAAATATTGTAGCTTTTGTTTCTATTCCTAAGATGAACGTTCAAATGAGTCAATTAAGGCAATGGAAGACCTTGGATCCTTAGTTGTTGAGGCAATTGAAGGCCCTTACTGATTTAAAGTCCTAGTTGGGTGTCTCTTTGAGTGAGGGTATGAAATTTAATTTCTTAGGCTAAGAATCGAAAGGTATGATTTATTATAATATTTATTCATAGCTTAGTTCTACTTTGTCTTGTGATCAAATGAGACCCATTATACTCATATTCCAACCCATAAAAAAAACCAGATCGAGTAGGGGATGGATAAAGAACTCTGTTTAATTTTACTTTTGTTTTTGCAACCTGGTTGAGAGAAGGTAACTAAAGAAGATGAACAATTTCCCTTGGGGTTTTGAGCTCTTTGTTTTCTTGTGGGGAGTGTCGTTTGATAGTTTGGAGCAATTATATTTGGAGTTTTGTGGATGGAAAAGAGCAAGCAACAAGCATGGGCCTTTTAAAAGTTTGGGCTTTCCTATTTTGGGTGGTTTTCTATATTAATCCCGTAATTCTTTCATATTTTGAAACCACTCCCTCAAATCATTGAAATTGTTATCACGTCCCTAATTCGTGAGCCCCAAAAAAAACCATTTTAAATCAACACGAGTCACTGAGATAGTTAGCAATGGTACTTATAGAATGTTTTCCTTAAATAAAGTTAATTTAAAATGATTATCTGGTAGCAGCTTAATTTATAAATCTTCAAGAAATAAGGAAACATATCAATTTATAAATTTTGTATCATGAATTAATTAAACTATTATTGTTTCTCATGAATTATATGGTTTAAATGACACTCATCTTTCACAAGAAAATAAAGAGATCAAAGACCCAAAATCGGATGGTATTGCTCATTTTCTTTAGTTCTCGTCTCTTAACCCATGTTCATAGAACCCAAATTCTCTCCTCCAATAGGTTGCAGAAAGAAAAGTAAAAATGAATGGGCTTCTCCATTCATTCCATACTTTGATCCCTTCTTTTAAAAAAACGGGTTGGAATATGAGTATAATGAGTCTCATTTCATCACAAAATAAAGTACGACTAAACTATGAACAAAAATTGAAACAGATCATACCTTTTGATTGTTGAACCTGCTTGCCCTCATTCAAAGAGACACTACACCAGAACTTCAAACGAGGATGAGCTTCCAATTGTCTCTTTCAATTGTCTCGTTTGATCATCTATCTTAGGAATAGAAACAATTTTCGGATGGCTTCCAGAATAGATAAACCTCCTTAGGTTTAGGTGTTGAGATAACACCCATAATTTTCAAAATGTCCCTAAACCCCCTAAGTTTTGGAGCAAGTATATGTACGTCTACTTTGCACTGAAAGGCACAATTGTAAGTACAACTACATGTGTGTCTGCATTTACTGTTTTCTAGAATCTTTAGTATGCCTCTACTTGATCCAACCTGTCATAATATCCATACAACACATGGTTTCTCATGTCAGTATCTTCATACACCACCATTCACATTTTTTACATCACGGTCGTACTAATATGAAATTTATTTTGCTTGCCTCCTCGGTGACAATAGATTCTGAAGCTTCTTTCCCCTTTTCAGGTCAAGGATACTGGTTTTGGAATTAGCCCACAAGACTTGCCGCATGTCTTCACCAAATTTGCACATACCCCAAATGGAGCCGATAAAGGCTATAATGGCAGTGGGCTTGGACTTGCCATCTGTAAGAGGTATATACCAAATAAATATGAAGCATTAAACTTAGGCTCCACCTGTTTTCTGCATATTTTGCTTGCAAAATAATATGGGCTAGTTGCGTTTTGGCCCCTAGTTTTATCACTATTTTGGACTCACCACCCCTCTAGTTTTATTGCTGGAAATAGACCGCCTGAGTAAAATATTTTTGGCTCTTTTACCCTCGAGGGATCTATTTGTCAAAAAAGAATTTTCTTTCTCAGAGGATAAAAGAGTCAAAAGATTTCACTCGGGTACTATCTGCAACAATAAAAGAAGATGGGTAGTAAGTTCTAAGCAGCAATCAGGGGTCTGTCTGCAACTATTTGAAGTGTTCTCTAATAATCTCCAATTGTACAAAATCAGGTTCATAAGTCTAATGGAAGGCCACATCTGGCTTGAAAGCGAAGGTATAGGAAAAGGCTGCACTGTCACATTCTTTGTGAAACTTGGAATCTGTGAGAACCAAAGTGGTTATCAGCAACAGATTTTTCCTGCAAATCTATTGAGCCAAGAAGAAAGAGATCTTTCTGGCCCTCGGCCGCTCTTTAGAGAAGAGAGCAGACTAGTTCCTTCAAAGCTCCGGTATCAAAGGAGTGTGTAGTATTCTCGGAGTCGACTGATAGCACCCAGGTAAGGTTAAATTTTGATGGTTCGCAAAGGATTGAGAGGGTACTTACTAAGCAAAATGAGTCCAATTGACATTGTTTGGAGCGTTCGAGCTGTTTATCACAGTGTTTTTCAAGGTAATCTTAATTACATAGAAAGCTAGAGCGGCTGGATTGAACTCCATAACCAACTTGCTTCATGTAAATGTTGATGAGTGCACACAAGCATTAAACACTAGAAGTATTTCATCGTTCTGATCTAATAGTCAAATTTGTTTGGAATTCTACTTGCGTGTTATGGACTTGCTTTGATTTAGGTATACATGTTGAGCATGGTAATGTTCTTTAAAAAAATGACAGCTGCTTGTTATCTCCAAAAGAATTTATTATTTAGTTTGCCTAATTTTTTTCTATGAACTTGCAACAAAATCTAGAAGATTGCTGTTGAATAATTATTTTAATTATTTTTCTGTTGGGGGTAATTTTAAGTCTATGAAGCTGCATGTCACCTGTGTATGCTTTTATCACAGTTCAAGTTGTTTTGTTGCACTTGTTACATCAGAAGTAACCTTTGTTAAGTGGTGTAGATACATTTCTCTGGGTTTTATTTATCAGCTCTCCATTGGTGAATGCTACCGCTGAAGTTTGGTTAGGTTCATTCTTAGTGTTGAACTTTGAAGTTGTTCTAATTTAAATTATATGAATTGTACAGGGAAAAAAAGGTTGTTAGGAGTTTAATGTTACTGAAAAACTGTTAAATCATGTCAAAGTATCATTGAATTTAGGGTGTGGTTGGCAATCCTTACAAACTTGGACCATGATCAATGTTAGCCCAGTTTTATTTTAAGCTGGTTCAATGTAGATCAGGAGGAGACTGGTCTAGGAAAAAAAACTCGTTTAAAGGCTGTTTTTTGGTCTAGGGAAAATTGTGTTAATCTTGGCCAAATGTTTTCCTTTGGGCTAGGGTGAGGGGATACCAAACAAGCAAGATTTTAGGGTTAGTTCGGCAAACGGAGCAAAATTGGGCCAGGATCCAGTTTTCTGCTAAACTAGTTTTGTTTTGTACTAGACCCCTCTGGTTCAAAACCAACCTAGTTTAGTGACACTATTTGGCACAAAAAATGGGGTTAGATCTAGTCCAGAATTTTAACAAATAAGAAACAACACAAAATTGGGTCAGGTTCAGTCATGGCCTAATTTTACAAAGTTGCCAAACACGCCCTTAGTGTTCTTTGTTTTGCGTTATGTACTTCTTCCATTTGCTCATGAGATACAAGTATAGCATGTGGAATATATATAAGTAAAGCATGTTGAATACTTTCAGCATTTTTATGTTGACAGAGAATAATTTTCACAGAGACCTATTAGGGCTTATAGTGCATCATCATCAATAAAACCCGTATGATTTTAGGGTTAATTGTGAACAGATCCCCCTAGTATCGCTCTATTGCGAATAGACCCATGTACTATTTTTACGAATAGATCCCTTGAGTGAATCTTTTTTTTACTCTTAAAGTTAATTTTATTTTTGACGAGACGGGTTGACCCCATATATTCTACTGGTCACGAGAGACCCTCAACTAAATTGCTGCTTCTTCTTCTTCTTCTTCTTGTTTTTACTTTCAAAAGAGGTGGAAAAGTTTACAAAAAGGGAGTATTCACACCTGGTCGATACTATAGGGATCTTTTCACCGCAAATAGAACACGATGGGTCCATTCGCAATTGGCTGATATTATAGGGGGTCTATTCGCAGTTAACCCATTATTTTATTGAATGACCCTCACTTGTCACAGGAGCTGCCCACTCTTCGCTTGCAATTTCACATATTAGAAGTTACTAAAAATGCGGAGAAAGGGAAAAGCTTAAAATTTTGGAGGAAACATTAAGTTTTCATTTATCTAATTGCACAGAAAGGATTCATTTTTTTGAGGAACCATTAAGTTTTCATTTGTAACTAGCAAAAAATATAAAGGACTTCAAGAATCAATATGCAAACACCTAGATTTCTCGTCAAAGTTCTGTAAGAGCCGAATTATATTCAACATATATAGGCAAAAGGAAAGAGAGAGAGGGGATGAGCTCAAAAGGCTCATCCAATTACTTACATGCTTTACAAATATAATTTGATTAGCTGACGCTCCAGTTTCGACAGGAACAATGAACTCTTGCAAGATATGCCATGTAATCATGCGACCTGCAATCAACAACATTAAAGTTAGCTATGTCTCATTACCTTCCGAATCTTTTACCATCAAACCAAGATTAAACACAACTACAGGAGCCACATTGACAAAGAGACCAGACGATAAAGATTCACCATCGTTTGACACATTTTTCATCCATGCGGCAAAACTTTTAAGGCAAGTAAGAGATCATTTGGCTCCTTTACCCTCGGATAGAACCTCTATAATTTGACTCTTTTACCGTTCACTTACGGCCAACGTGTCCAAAATTTTCACCCGGGGTGCATTGGGTAACGATTTCATGACAACAACGATACTATGAAGGTCTAGTTTCAGAAGTTGGAAGTAGATTCTGAACCTTGATCCGTATGGAGATCTGCACGCAGCAATTATATGAAGCTTTGCTCCCTCAATATTCTTCTGCCACAATTACAGACATAACTGTTAAAGCTCAAACCTACAAATCGCACGCGCAAGTTTTCTCTGTGAGAAAACGCAAACCTGAGACTCGTAACAAAGACCAGCATAGAGGGAGGCATAAAAGCGTTCGTCGTCTCGGCCATCCACAAACCCCGAGACGAGCTGATCGAAATCCGAACGAAGGTGAAACTCAACGAGATACAGATAACAGAGGCGAATATATGACTTAAAAACAGACCTTTTCCGGATCACCGCCATCTCTGAACATATCATAGGCTTCTCGCATAACAGGCCTCGGATCTCGTCCAACCTGAAAACATTTTCAAATTTGCAATATTACTCTAAAGAAGAACCATTTGAGATAACAGTTCGTTAGGAAACCTGCCTCTAAGAACCGCTTCCTAGCTTCTTCGACTCCGTACACCCGAGCCTCACACAGGAAGCACCAAATCGACTCTTCTGTATCGTTCGGATTTGCTGCGACGTCCAGCCTGAACTGCTCTGCTCCTTCTTCAAATCTTCACACAATTCACGAGCGAGTTACGCGAAATCCTACCAATGCAAAATTTCCCTGCCAGTTTCGTAAGAAGCGGTACCTGTCCAGATAGTAGAGGGACAACCCCCTCTGCCAAAGATCTGAAAAGGAGTTTCTTAGATTGGTTAGTCCGCAGGAGTATCAGAAGTAAGAAGTAAATCAAAGAAGTAACTTCCGTAGCACCTAAGTAACTGGTTTGAAACTCATTTTCTCATCGACTGTGAACTTTCTGCGTACACAATTCAATTAATTTCCATTTATATCATGGTATTTAGAGCACGTGGCTGATCTTAATCGGAGAATTAGATTGAATAGGGATTAGATTAACTTAGATCCATGACAAAGATTAAATTTCGGCTGCACGATTCATACGGCATTCAAAGAGTGAAGGAAGAACGAAAATTACTTACAAGCCTTCTGTCGGGGATCCAGCTCAATGGCTCGATCAAACTCCACCAACGATCCGCTGACATCACCCTAAAAAATAATAATAATAATAAATATCACTAAATTTAACCGCTAGGACACGTTAAGGGAGGGATAAAAGCAAGCGAGGGCACATCGTGCCTGACGAAAGAGCTGCATCCCCCGTCGGACCGCGGCGGAGGCGTCACGTGCGGGGTTGGCGCCGGCGATGGCGTCCCAGATGGAGGAGGCGGCCGGTAAGATGAGCCTGCGGGGCAGCGCAAGGGGAGCACGGTAAAGGTCATCGGGTCTTGGGCGGGGAGTGAGCGGGGTGAGGCTGGGGATTGAGGGTTTCGAGGTGGTTGGAATTCTACAGGGAGAGGGAGGGGATAATGAGAGGGAATGGGAGGATTGCATTGTTGAGGAAATTAAATTTTTTTTTTAAGATTAAATTTTTTGTTGTAGATTTTGTAGCTGTCTTGTGATTTGAATGCGGATATGGAAACCAACGGCCAATACTCTCTTGGCACCGTAAGCCAGTAACTACCACTTGCGTGCTTAACCAGCATTACCCGATTTCATATTTAACCAGAGTTCAGTAGTTTTGGACAGAGAACTTTGTAATAAATACTGCCTTCCGAATGGTTTCGTCCAAATGGGTCAAATCCTCATATGAAATATTTGTCTTTGCAAAATGGTTTGGATGACCATGTGGCTTATTTTGTATGATACATTGATATATAATACATTGTTTCTTTAAGTGCATAAATAGTTAAAAATAATGTGAAGGGAAAAAAAAAAAAAAATTGTAGAGTTAGTGTGTGTTAGGTGAAGAAGAGTCATGAATAAGAACAAATACTCTATAAAAAAAAACACTCTAAAATTTTGTAATTTACAAATACACAAAACTATTAAACATTACATTGAAATCAAGAAATTACAAAAAATCATTGAAAATTTCAAACTTTGGAGGGGTAATTTGTAATATACTAAACTTTAAGGGTGTTCTTTTATAAATTTCATAACTTAATAGATTTCTGAGCACCCAAAACACAAAACCCAAGGGATTTAAATACGTGAAGACTATAATACCCTTTTCTCTCTTTTTATCTGTTATGATTTGAAAGAGTTTCCTCCGTCAATCCCAGCGGAGAAGCTCGACCTCCGTCAATCCCCGCCTCCGCCTCCGCCGCTGCGAGCGCCGTTGACGCTCCGTCAATCCCCTTGCCGTCGATTTCGTCCAGTCCGTCTCCGACCGCCTCTCCGACCACGAGAACAACGGCGCCGGAGAGCCCGACGAGGAGGACTCCTACCTCGACCCCGCCGCCAGCTTCCCACGAGAACAACGGCGTCGGGAAAGTTTCACGAGGCCTTCCTTCTTCCCTCGACCCTCCTTCAGCAACGAGATTCTTCATACATTTAGTCATCATATCTTTGACTCGAATCATGGTTAATGACGCACCCTCTTTTTTGACTTGGAAAATATTGTACATGATTCTGGTGATCTTGTTGCGCACCTTGGTTTAATTGTTGGAAGTTTTGGGAATTTTCCATGTAATTTGAAGACCTGCAGTCGCCCCCCTCCTGCGAAGCCATTAAATTTAAAGTAAATATTTATGATTTTTCTTTCATTCCCTTCTAATTTCTTTTAACAATGGTTTGGTGGGAAACTTCTCTTTGTAAATGTCCTTCAAACTTTTGCTCGAGTGCACCAAGTTGCCTTTATTTGTTCCCAGATTTATAATTGGAGGTCTGTTGATGATTTCTTGACGTGGTTTTTTCCCCGTTCTTTTGGTTTCTTGTTCGAGCGGCCGGAAAATGTAACTCTCGAGATCTTGCGGTTAAATTTGCTTTGATTGTGAGTCCTTTTGGTTTTGTCTCTTTTTAACTCTTTTTTATATGTTGGAAAAATTATGAAAACTAGGAATTAAGAGCTTTTTTCTTTTAAAGCCTTGAGAGAGCCTACAAATTGCTATAGTTATCTTCATATCGCCATAGCTTGATGTGTTGCTCAAGATATAATAAGCCTTCGAAATATTGGGAACCAAAGACTCCCAAAGACTGTACTAAATTTGGACCAATTTGTAAAGAACAGAATTGGATTAGGTGAAAATAAAATCAAATAAAAAGTGAATATCTGTTTTATATCTGTGATCGTATTTGTTCCGATTCTCAAATATTTGAACCGTATCTGTGTCCGATGAGTGCGGATATAGTTAATATTTTTTCCTACCGAAGATAATCTGTATTTATATCCGTATAAAAAATGTCTTCTCTGTCAGATCCCACCTCGTCTTTAGCCAGTCCGCCTCGGCCAGTTGTTTTTTTTTTTCCGTTGAGGTCCAAGCTTTTGACTGATTGGAGGTCTATTGATGATTTCTTGACGTGCTTTTTTTCCCCGTTCTTTTGGTTTCTTGTTCTAGCGGCTGAAAAATGTAACTCTCAAGTTCTTGCGGTTAAATTTGCATTGATTGTGATTCCTTTTGGTTTTGTCTCTTTTTAACTCTTTTTTATATGTCAGAAAAATTATGAAAACCAGGAATTAAGAGCTTTTTTTCTTTTAAAGCCTTGAGAGGGCGTATAAATTGCTACATTTATCTTCATATCGCCATAGCTTGATGTGTTGCTCAAGATATAATAAGCCTTCGAAATATTGGAACCAAAGACTCTCAAAGACTGTACTAAATTTGGACCAATTTGTAAAGAACAGAATTGGATTAGGTGAAAATAAAATCAAACAAAAAGCGAATATATGTTTTATATCCGTGATCGTATTTGTTCTAATTCTTAAATATTTGAACTATATCTGTGTCCGATGAGTGCGGATATAGTTAATATTTTTTCTTACCGAAGATAATCCGTATTTATATCCGTATAAAAAACGTCTTTTTTGTCAGATCCCGACTCGTCTTCGGCCAGTTCGCCTCGGCCAGTTGTTTTTTTTTTCGTTGAGGTCCAAGCTTTTGACTAATTGGAGGTCTATTGATGATTTCTTGACGTGCTTTTTTTCCCCGTTCTTTTGGTTTCTTATTCTAGCGGCCAGAAAATGTAACTCTCGAGATCTTGCGGTTAAATTTGCTTTGATTGTGATTCCTTTTGGTTTTGTCTTTTCTTTAACTCTTTTTTATATGTTGGAAAAATTATGAAAACCATGAATTAAGAGTTTTTTTTCTTTTAAAGCCTTGAGAGGGCCTATAAATTGCTATAGTTATCTTCATATCGCCATAGCTTGATGTGTTGCTCAAGATATAATAAACCTTCGAAATATTGGGAACCAAAGACTCCCAAAGACTACACTAAATTTGGACCAATTTCTAAAGAACAGAAATGGATTAGGTGAAAATAAAATCAAATAAAAAGCGGACATCTGTTTTATATCCATGATCGTATCTGTTCCGATTCTCAAATATTTGAACCGTATTCGTGTCCGATGAGTGCGGATATAGTTAATATTTTTTCTTACCGAAGATAATCAGTATTTATATCCGTATAAAAAACATCTTTTTTGTTAGATCCCGCCTCGTCTTCGACCAGTTGTTTTTTTTCCGTTGAGGTCCAAGCTTTTGACTTATTAGAGGTCTGTTGATGATTTCTTGATGTGGTTTTTCCCGTTCTTTTGGTTTCTTGTTCTAGCGGCCGGAAAATGTAACTCTCGAGATCTTGCGGTTAAATTTGCTTTGATTGTGATTCCTTTTGGTTTTGTCTCTTTTTTACTCTTTTTTATATGTTGGAAAAATTATGAAACCCCGAAATTAAGAGCTTTTTTCTTTTAATGCCATGAGAGGGCCTATAAATTGCTATAGTTATCTTCATATCACCATAGCTTGATGTGATGATTTCTTGACGTGTTTGTTTCACTGTTCTTTTGGTTTCTTATTCTAGCGGCCGAAAAATGTAACTCTCGAGATCTTGCGGTTAAATTTGCTTTGATTGTGATTCCTTTTGGTTTTGTCTTTTTTTAACTCTTTTTTATATGTTGGAAAATTTATGAAAACCATGAATTAAAAGCTTTTTTCTTTTAAAGCCTTGAGAGGGCCTATAAATTGCTATAGTTATCTTCATATCACCATAGCTTGATGTGTTGCTCAAGATATAATATTCGTGTCTCGATGAGGTTTGTTTGAACCGTATCCGTGTCTGATGAGTACGGATATAGTTAATATTTTTTTCTTACCGAAGATAATCCGTATTTATATCCGTATAAAAAACATCTTTTTTGTTAGATCCCGCCTCGTCTTAGGCCAGTTCGCCTCGGCTAGTTGTTTTTTTTTTCGTTGAGGTCCAAGCTTTTGACTTATTGGAGGTCTGTTGATGATTTCTTGACGTGGTTTTTCCCCGTTCTTTTGGTTTCTTGTTCTATCGTCCGGAAAATGTAACTCTCGAGATCTTGCGGTTAAATTTGCTTTGATTGTGATTCCTTTTGGTTTTGTCTCTTTTTTACTCTTTTTTATATGTTGGAAAAATTATGAAAACCCGAAATTAGGCGCTTTTTTCTTTTAATGCCTTGAGAGGGCCTATAAATTGCTATAGGTATCTTCATATCACCATAGCTTGATGTGTTTCTCAAGATATAATAAGCCTTCGAAATATTGGGAACCAAAGACTCCCAAAGACTGCACTAAATTTAGACCAATTTGTAAAGAACAGAAATGGATTAGGTGAAAATAAAATAAAATAAAAAGCGAACATCTGTTTTATATCCGTGATCGTATTTGTTCTGATTCTCAAATATTTGAATCGTATCTGTGTCCGATGAGTGCGGATATAGTTAATATTTTTTCTTACCGAAGATAATCTGTATTTATATACGTATAAAAAACGTCTTCCTTGTCAGAGCCTGCCTCGTCTTCGGCCAGTTCACCTCGGCAAGTTGTTTTTTTTCGTTGAGGTCCAAGCTTTTGACTGATTGGAGGTCTGTTGATGATTTTTTCCCCGTTCTTTTGGTTTCTTGTACTAGCGGCCGAAAAATGTAACTCTCGAGATCCTGCGGTTAAATTTGCTTTGATTGTGATTCCTTTTGGTTTTGTCTCTTTTTAAATGTTTTTTATATGTTGGAAAAATTATGAAAACCAGGAATTAAGAGCTTTTTTATTTTAAAGCCTTGAGGGGCCTATAAATTGCTATAGTTATCTTCATATTGCCATAGCTTGATGTGTTGCTCAAGATATAATAAGCCTTCGAGATATTGGGAGCCAAAGACTCCCAAAGACTGCACTAAATTTGGACCAATTTGTAAAGAACAGAAATGGATTAGGTGAAAATAAAATAAAATAAAAAGCGAACATCTGTTTTATATCCGTGATCGTATTTGTTTTGATTCTCAAATATTTGAATCGTATCTGTGTCTGATGAGTGCGGATATAGTTAATATTTTTTCTTACCGAAGATAATTCGTATTTATATACGTATAAAAAACGTCTTCCTTGTCAGAGCCTGCCTCGTCTTCGGCCAGTTCACCTCGGCAAGTTGTTTTTTTTTCCGTTGAGATCCAAGCTTTTGACTGAT